AAGCTGTCAAACTTCACGGGTCATCAGGTACACTCATCGGCGTGAATCGCCTCACACAAATGTGTAATCCCTAAACAGAACGCTATGAATCCTAACAATAGAAGTATGAACACTTTTTATGTGATAAATCCATCTGTAGATCTGAACCTTTGTCCCAGGCCGACCCTTTGGTGAGCCCCAGCATGCATCCCAATATTTTCACAGTTGATGAAACTGGTTGCAGATTTACAAGTGTCACGATGACCTGGATTTCTCATCTTACATTCTTATCTATGATTATAATTGCATAAAATCAACAATAAAAACAAATCTTTTTAACTTATCTGACCTTGCACCAAATCAGTTCACGGACTTGTCATGTTTTTGTTATTTGCAGAATTTCGGAATGTTTCATCCCGAGTCGAACGAAGATGTCACCCTACCTGTCTGTTGTCTGTTAGCGGCCATCCGATATGAAAAATAGACAAAGATAATATCCATCAGTACATACAGGTAAGCACAGACGTCCAAGGCATGACTGCATTAACACAACATCGAGTTAAAAACAAGGAAAAACAATATACCAACCTGTCGCCATCTTCGGAGTCTAGCGCCAATAACACCAAAACTGTTCCGGTGAAGGGAGGTAACTCTCGCCAGGATGAGTCAGATATCTGTGTTAGAAAGGGGTGTGTCAGTGTGTGTGTCAGAATATACAGTGAATAAGAAAGAAAATCGATCAAATATAGTTAAATTGGAAATGTAATTCGATACAAATATAAAATTTGATTGGTGTTCGATTATGTACATCACTTATCATTGTTCTTTGAAATATGAAAGTCAAGTTTGTAACCATTTGCTTTCTATTGTGTAAAATTTAAGTATTGCTTTCAATGTTGATTAAATTCGAATTTGTTTGTTGTAGTGATTGTGTTCCTTAACTTTTGGAGAAGGGTTATTTTTGAAAGAGCATTGGCCTATATTATTTATTAAGAGATAGGATTTCCTATATATGTTTGATAGTAGTTAAATTCTATGTGGAGGTATTTCAAAGTATTGTTAACATTGTATTGTCCTGTAACATTATCTGTATATGACATGCAGGCGGGCACCATGTTGGCAAAACCGAACCGGTAATGACATCCTTGGATTATATTGCATTTCACTGGTAGGCTAGCTTGACAGTAAGGCATTATTTTGCCCTCTTATTCCATGGTTGTGACTGTTTCCCCTTCTGGAAAGTCTTGTCCTAAGACTTGGCCTGAGAAATCCTGCGGGTCGTCTCAGCGTAACAATTCCCATTCCTTAGCCACTCGTAACTGACCGTACAATATATCCCAGTGTCCTAAAACACTACCATCAAGTGTATTTCTAGGCTATTTTATTTACATATGAGGCTGTTGTTCAAAGAGTTTATAATTAATTATGTAACCATCTTAACTGATTAATATGCAAAAATAAGAGCCAGCCCATATGGAGTTATCTATACATTTAATTAATTTACATTTTTGTAATATTCATCATTCAGACAGTAGATTATCTCCCCTTAGACAGTATCAGGTACATGATTGATGTGTAATATGTTGTTATTTGATTAACTATATTTTACGCTGCGATGATAAGGATAACAAATCTACAATGTGATACCAAAATCAATAGATAGGATCATATTACATGTACATGTAAGGTCTGTAATATACCTAATAACCAACCCAGGTGGTTAGCTATTAGTAAAATCTGGAATGATTGCAAGAATCTTCTGAAATTTTCAAAAAGAGTGTCATAATGAAAACTGTTTTTCAAGTAATTTAGTATAATAAGGTGAAGGGAGGGGCACTCTTAACCGAAAAAATGCATTGGTACTTATTAGATTGTTTACAGTGTTTATGTACAGATAATTTAGATGCTTGCTATGTTTTATTTGTAAATAATTGTTACAAAATGCATGATGTGTTTGAACAGAATAAAAAAAAATGAATAGAACCAATAGTTGAATTTTTGTTTTGTATGACTGAGATTTGTCCATTCTTGTATCATTGGTACCCAGATAAGGTCAGGCCAAAATCATCACTCTGGGCCTGTTGGTTATTCAGAAGTTGTTTTAAGGTTTTAACACCCTTTAGTCCTATGACCTTGGGTCAATGTCATTCACTTGAATAAGTTTCAAGCCCTTGACGTTAACCTTTGAAAGACCACTCCAAAACTAAGTAGGATTTTTCCTCTTCCCTGAAACAACCCAGATGTCAAGGTTGATCTCTGTTGAAATGAGCATCTGGACAGATTATTTGTTATGTGAAATTCTATTTTCAGTAACAGCGATCTTGACCTCAAGCCGACCATGTTCATTATGAATAAGGTTCTTCCCCTCTCCACAACTCACATACTTAGTCTGATCCTTGTGCAATCGTTTGTTCTTTTCTTAAGTTATTATCTGGACAAGATAAATTCTATTTTTAGTAACAGCAACCTTGACCTCTGACTAATCACCTTTAAATCTGATTGACATTGTGTATTTGTGACCTTGACTTTAAATTCGTGTATTTGTGACATTTACCTCGTGAATCATTTATTTTGAAGTTAGCATCCAGATAGTTTGCTATGTGATATTATTTTACTGGCCATCAATAGGTTTTACACTGAATGGTTTTGAAGCTATCTACACCTTGAACAAACTTTGTTTGATTGGGTGTAATAGAGGTCATCTTGATTGTGACAATTTCTGATTGGCTGTTGTAGAGGTCATCCTGATTTTACTACATCATACACTATACAAGCATCATTTTACATTGTTATGGATGTTTCGATAAGTCATGTCTGCAAAATCTGTGAAGAGGAGATACAAGCGAGTTCTTTGCTCTCACTCTCTGAGGTTACAAGAGTCAATCAGTCTGTGTGAGGAGCTAGAATGACTTGATGCAGTAGAGTTAAAAAAAAACGAATGAATATATATTTTTTTGTGGATGTCAAAGTCAAAGATAGCAGTAACAAACTTCAACAGTAAAAATACAAAATGGCTGCTGGTGGCCATCTTGAAAATGAGCCATGAACAATTATGTCCCTTAGTTAAAACAGTCCAACTGAAGATCTCTCCACTAGCTCCCAACTCAATAGTTGAAATACAACATGACTGCCAGCAGCCATCTCGAAAATCCAACAACGCTTAACGTGTGACTTACACAATACCAGTCCCATAGCTGCTATTTTATATTTTCGCAGTTAAAGTTTGTCAAAATATAACATCACTGCATGTGATCATGTGATATTCTAATCATACTCAAAATGTGGCATGCATAAATAAGTTCCCTGGTGAACATCTCAAGTAAGTTTCCTTAGCACCTCTCTGGTAGTTCCTAAGTAGCAGCACCTCTCTGGTAGTTCCTAAGTAGCAGCACCTCTCTAGTAGTTCCTAAGTAGTAGCACCTCTCTGGTATTTCCTAAGTAGTAGCACCTTTCGGGTAGTTCCTAAGTAGTAGCACCTCTCTGGTAGTTCCTAAGTAGCAGCACCTCTCTGGTAGTTCCTAAGTAGTAGCACCTCTCGGGTAGTTCCTAAGTAGCAGCACCTCTCGGGTAGTTCCTAAGTAGTAGCCCCTCTCGGGTAGTTCCTAAGTAGTAGCACGTCTCTGGTAGTTCCTAAGTAGTAGCACCTCTCGGTTAGTTCCTAAGTAGCAGCACCTCTCGGGTAGTTCCTAAGTAGTAGCCCCTCTCGGGTAGTTCCTAAGTAGTAGCACGTCTCTGGTAGTTCCTAAGTAGTAGCACCTCTTTGGTAGTTCCTAAGTAGTAGCACCTCTCTGGTAGTTCCTACGTAGCAGCACCTCTCTGGTAGTTCCTAAGTAGCGGCACCTCTCTGGTAGTTCCTAAGTAGCAGCACTTCTCTGGTAGTTCCTAAGTAGCAGCACCTCTCTGGTAGTTCCTAAGTAGAAGCACCTCTCTGGTAGTTCCTAAGTAGCAGCACTTCTCTGGTAGTTCCTAAGTAGCAGCACCTCTCCGGTAGTTCCTAAGTAGCAGCACCTCTCTGGTAGTTCCTAAGTAGCGGCACCTCTCTGGTAGTTCCTAAGTAGCAGCACTTCTCTGGTAGTTCCTAAGTAGCAGCACCTCTCTGGTATTTCCTAAGTAGCAGCACCTCTCTGGTAGTTCCGAAGTAGCAGCACCTCTCTGGTAGTTCCTAAGTCGCAGCACCTCTCTAGTAGTTCCTAAGTAGTAGCCCCTCTCTGGTATTTCCTAAGTAGTAGCACCTTTCGGGTGGTTCCTAAGTAGTAGCACCTCTCTGGTAGTTCCTAAGTAGGAGCACCTCTCTGGTAGTTCCTAAGTAGTATCACCTCTCTGGTAGTTCCTAAGTAGTAGCACCTATCTGGTAGTTCCTAAGTAGTAGCACCTCTCTGGTAGTTCCTAAGTAGCAGCACTTCTCTGGTAGTTCCTAAGTAGCAGCACCTCTCCGGTAGTTCCTAAGTAGCAGCACCTCTCTGGTAGTTCCTAAGTAGCAGCCCCTCTCTGGTAGTTCCTAAGTAGCAGCACCTCTCTGGTATTTCCTAAGTAGCAGCACCTCTCTGGTAGTTCCGAAGTAGCAGCACCTCTCTGGTAGTTCCTAAGTCGCAGCACCTCTCTGGTAGTTCCTAAGTAGCAGCCCCTCTCTGGTAGTTCCTAAGTAGCAGCACCTCTCGGGTAGTTCCTAAGTAGTAGCACGTCTCTGGTAGTTCCTAAGTAGTAGCCCCTCTCTGGTAGTTCCTAAGTAGTAGCATATCTCTGGTAGTTCCTAGGAAACAGTTGTCATGAAATGTACTATTCACATCACTAAAGGGCACCACACCGCTATCTTGTGTTCTGACAGTTAATGTTTCTTAATAACAGGATTGGCTTGCATCATTATGGGTGAACAGATAAGAACTAGTGTTCCGATACAAACACCATGTAACTAGAAATGTAAGTGTCGGGCAGCTGACCAGCACAGTGATTTGTGATGGACTGCCTAATATATTAGACACTTGACAAGGTTTAGGTAGTAAAATGCAAAACAAACAAGTATAAATGCTTATTCCAATATTTATTTAAATTATATCTATTTCTTTTTCGCACAATATGATTGACCTCTAATCAATCATCAGTCACTTGATTAGAAGCGATGATCAATCATGACTTTACAAGCAAGTCCCAACACTGTAAGTAAGCCTATAAAGCCTTAAGGGAGATAACTCAAACACAAATCACAGGTACAAAGTGTAAGATAGCATACAGCATTAAGAGAGATCGACTTTCACAAATTTCACAGGAAAAATGTGTAAAATAGCATATAGCCTTATGGAAGATGACTCTAACTAATTTTACAGGTTTTATGTGTTAGATACTGTAGCATGTATGCCTAAGGGAGACAACCAAAACACATATCACAAGTAAAATGTGTAAGGTAACATACACCCTTAAGTCGGACACAAGCCAACACAAGTTGGATCATCAAGGTACAGGGTTGAGGTCAGTACTCAAACTTAACTTTACTTCAGGTGTCTATTTAATTTGCAAAGTATAAACACACTTATTTTGATTGTAAACAGTCATGAAAACAATTTTACTATGAAATTTGTATAAGTTGTACAATTGACAGCTTTAAAGAACTTCTAAAAGCTTAATGATGGCATCCAATATAAGGGTCAGTCAACAATGAACACAAAAATATTCAAATAGAATTTGTTTATCAGAATTTGATTAAACAGATATAGCATTTGCTATTTTGTTATTATACAAGTATTGATATTTTGTAAATAAGGTAATACACTGTACTTTCAATCAGATTCTAATCATTTAACAAATATATTTGTTTTATCAACATTTTTTTCTGCATCTGAATATGTTTTCATGTCTTTAACAAAAATACAACTGTTTAGTGTAAAATAATAAAATATAAACAGTTCAAGATAAAAGTGGAGGTCGATGATTAAAACGATAAAAGCACGAAACAACAACAACCAAGATCATTGGAAAATTACTTATTCACAACCAATATGTAGTATCATTTACTGAATAACAAATCAAGTCTGTGTAAGATAATGAAATACAACTTCAGGAGTAATCTAATATAATAAATCCCAATAACCTATCATTATCGACCGTTATAGCTGTGTACAGTGGGACCTTGTTTAACCTATCATGATCGACCGTTATAGCTGTGTACAGTGGGACCTTGTTTAACCTATCATGATCGACCGTTATAGCTGTGTACAGTGGGACCTTGTTTAACAGGTTTGGAGTCAACAACAAGAGATCACGGAGCAAGCTTGGCGCCCACCATCGTACCATCTAAATAGGTTTTATGTAAGATTGATTTTTTCTCTTCTTTCTTTTATATTTTTTTCTATTGGACTCGGTCATCTAAACAGTAAATGTATGCATCTTGTGATAACTTATGATGAACAGTTCATATAGCTGTGTAGGACATTGTTCTTTCAAAGTCAGGTTGTTATTTGGCCAATTTACTAGCACAGTGCTTAATGTGTAACAAGGGGAAACAAGATGTGAAGTTTACGAGAGAAGGACCTGTCAAGCACCTTTAGGGAAATAGTGATAACAAACTGGAACGGTCAAAATCTAAGATGGCTGCCTAGTGACTGACCGGTTTGTTTTTCTAATCAGCATACTTGCAAACTCTCCCTATTTAGGAGGGAGACTCCAAATTTGAGACCCCAAAATTGAGCATTTTCGACCTGTGAATTAATTGTTCAACTATTCTTATTTTCTAAGATGTGATGATTTCACCTGAAAGAACAGCTCAAACGATATCATCTAAAAGTGTTACTTTTCCCCTAGGGTGTTCAATTCTGAGCAGACGTAATCTCCCCCATGAAAATTCAAAAAGTTGGCAGTAAGTATGGATCAGCCTCAAAACGAAACATTTGATATGTATAACTACAGGACATGGGTAACCTTTATCTGGAATTGGAGGAAGATTCCTGCGGTAATTTCCAAGAAAAAGCATGAACAGCCATTGGCTCTCAAAACTCAAGATGGCCTTCTGTAGGCCATCTTGGTTTTTCCGATCGGTCCCAAACTGATAGGCATTACTTGGGGCCATGGAGAACATTGATATGAAATTTGCGAAAGATCTCTCCAGAACTTCCTGAGAATTATATAAAGGACAGACAGAATGACGGACGACAGATGTTGTAAATTAGAACTTTGATGTATAAAGTTATCAGAAATGGACAATTCCTGATTATCAATTTTACCTTTGTGTGTTATAGATGTGTATGTATTAACAGTGTACACTATCTTTCTGTAACACATATGTGAATATATTATGGATGTTTACAAACTTTCTGTGAAATGAACTTCCGTTTCAGAAGAGTTCTTTACTTGTAAAACATATTTTGTGATTGGTGATCTGGCCTTATGTTCACCAAACCATTCTCAATCTCCAATCTGATTCTGTGTTCAGACCAAAGCCAATTTCTGGATTCTGGTGATAAAATCAGATAAATTCAGTTTTTAACCATTACTTATAAAAAAAAAATGGAAATATTTTGTCAATTACCATTTAATGTGAACACTTAACTTTTTGACCATGTCACATGACTCAAACAAGTTATAGTTGGTTTGAGCAGAGAATTCATGCTTGAATATGAGAACAGTTTCATGAATTTGATAAAATTGAAAGCTACACAAAGATACATCTATTAAAATTGCACAAATGTTACATTCATATATTAAATGTTATGTTAATTACAACTTTTAAAAAACTCTTCCACAAAACATAGGTATAATTTATAAGATGTGTCCTTGACATTTAAATGTCCAGCACAAAATTTGACCTTCAAAAAAATGAAATCTCTCACAAAGGTATGTCAGTGATTGTTAATCAGGGTTTCTCAAACACATTTGAAGACATATGTTATTTTCTTATCTTGCATAAAGAACATGAAAGATAAATAAGTTATATATTTAACCAATCATATATCCATACTAACTTCGAGATTCTTCAATACACAATCAAGTTGTATGCCAATTGTTTAACTCATTCACCCCTGAAGACACATTTGAACTCTTCCAATTCAAAGGTTGGAATAGTTCATTATGAAAGTTCAGGGGTAAATGAGTTAACTTTCCATATACAATTAAACTTTCTCTAAGGAATACAATTCAGTGAGATCTGCATTAAATCTACAAATGAATCTAAACACTTAAACTCTTACTTTGTGACAGTCACAACATAATATTCACATATCATTAAAAGCGTGATCTTTAAAATAATCATAATACCCATAAAATAATAAAGAAATATTTCGAAAATTTAAATCAGGAATCCACTCTATCCCACTTTGCTACCTTATGACACCTCAAAGCAGAATTTGTTCCACCATTAATCTTCAAAAGATAACATATTTGAATTTAATTAGAAATGGCATTTATTATAATTATTGAACTCAAAATGGGTCTTTTACCGTAAGTATAGAAAATGAATTGAAATGTCTCCTTTCTAAGAACAATAACATTTTTTTTCTTAAACTCCTCACAAAGAAAACCTTGTTTGGTTATAGAACATGATTTATTTCCAGGCCTGTTCTAAAAGCTGCTTCTTAATTGACAATAAAAGTGATAATTTTTCCCTGCATGCTTTAATGGATTATACAGTAGAGGTTTTTGGCAAACAAACAAATACATGACAATCTTGCATACATAGAAATACCTAACAAAAGCAATTCTATAACATAATAATTACACTTAACCGTTGATCGTGGTAATACTTTGGCAGTATCATGGCATGAATTGATAAACATGTGAAAGAATTTCACATACAGTATGTACACATAAGTATTAAAGTACAATATAAAACATGAGGTTAACTAACCTTACAAGTTATGACCCGATTATTTACATAAATATGTTCACCAATTACATACTGGTAAACAGGAAATGAATTTTGACATAATCTCTTCATAATTTAAACATGACCCGACATAAGAAACCTTCCCTGTATATAGAGGTTACCCTGTGTCTGTCAGTGTTCTAACTAAAGGCCGGCTGCTGGCAAAAGTAGCCTGCTGTTTATCAACATCAACTCGGAACTGGCTATAGAATATATATGTCAACAATACGGCATGTGGACATTCAACTATTATTTCAAGTCTACAACCTTTTTTTAACGGAACTGAATACAATGTCTATGTTTGATTTGTTGTATCCTGTTATCCTATTTCCAGCTAAGCAACATATAACACTATCAAGTGGTTACCCAGTTTTGCTGTTTTGTTCCCAGAATCACTGATCAACAAGTCGAGCAGGGCCAATGTGCCATGGACGACATTCAGAAGGACCACAGAGTTTTGGTGGTGTTTTTTTATGTCTTAAAACTGGAGTTATTCAGTTTAAAAAAACACAAGATTTGAAATTAATAATGTCGACAACCATCTAGTATGTGTACATGAAAACTATATTTTTTAACTTGACAGTCATAGAAATATGTTTAGAAATAAATCATCCGTTATGCTGGTTCCAGTTTCAAATCATAATGTTAATGCTAATGTACATGTCAGGTCACAAACAATCGGAGCAGAATGAATTTTCACCCAGATTTGAAGTCCCTAGGTTGTGTATCTACAAGTCCCTCAAAGTTACCACTTCTGAGACATTCTTTAGGCTGAAACTGATTGTATACAAGAGTGTGCTTGAATACATTGATGTTCTGCTATATTACTTTAGAATCATATATATTTTACCCCATTAGACTGTGAAGTAAGTGTCAACAGATAATCAAAATATGTGATATTACACTAGTCTGGATGTGAACACAGCTGTATAAATATTAGTATATCATGCCTAGTGATAAGTCAAAGATTCAGTCCAACAATGTATGATTGGTCCCCAGCCTTACTGTAGGCTACTACATTAAATCTTGACTACTCGTTGGTGTATTTTTGTGTGAGTTTGATATCTGATACATTCATAAATTTTGACAACATATGGTCAAAGATGACATCATGGTGCTGCAGTATTGTATGACGAACTGTTCCTGTTTAACTGTGCTGTGGTATTTAATTAAGTATTGTTACTCATTTTCTGGTGCTGTGGTACTGAAATCAGGAGCTAATATACTGTATACATGGTAATATCTACTGTATACAGGGTAATATCTAGTGTATACAGGGTTATATCTTCTGTATACATGGTTATATCTACTGCATACAGGGTAATATCTACTGCAAACAGGGTAATATGTACTGTATGCAGGGTTATATCTACTGCAAACCAGGTTATATCTACTGCATACCGGATTATATCTACTGTATACAAGATCACATCTACTAAAGTAAAATTATCTGTAAACAGTATTAATTTTCTGTATAGGTTACAATTGTATTTAATATTAACTGTTATATTACTATAGAAATTTTTATCTTCTGTATACAGAGTAATATTTACTGTATACAGAGTAATATTTACTGTATACAGGGTTTAATATTTACTGTATACAGGGTTATATCTTCTATATACATGGTTATATCTACTGTATACAGGGTGATATCTACTGTATACAGGGTTATATCTACTGTATACAGGGTGATATCTACTGTATACAGGGTTATATCTATTGTATATATACAGGATGATATCTACTGTATACAAGTTTTATTTTTGCAGCATTGTTATTTTAATGACAAGGATATTCTGCCAATTAAACATAGCATGTCATCACTATAATTGTAACAGTGCATTCCCAACCATCTCCCAACAGCAAATTCAACCCAGAGAGGGAAATTATTTTCTCACATGAGCGTAAAAATAACACTGCACAAAATAAAATCAGTTTACAGTATTTATTTGTATGAAACACCAGATAAATGTGTTTGCGTGAGTAATTTTGTATATCTGGTCAAAGTTCAGAGCTTCCAATAGGTTTAAATAAAAATAAAAAAATGAAATAATTAGGAAATTTAGTTCACAGGATTAGTGGGAAACTGACAAAAACTATCAGAAACAGGGGAACGTGTTCAGTTATACATTTCCTGAAAAGATTTTTAGGATCTATCAAAAATATCTAACCTGACCACATAACAACTTTGTGGAAACAGAATGATTGCATATAACCCACAAAATTTCCACAAGAGTCATAAGAGACAGTCATAATAGACATTGTTTTAGCTGATCAATTATGGTATAAGGATCGGACAATCAGCATATATATTTACAAAGGTAAGCACAGGTGCTGGACACACCAATATGTGTATATACATATATATGTACTATATGATAGTATACAGATCATATTAGTGTGTCCAGCACCTGTGTATTTAAGTTAGGAAATATCAATAGAAATACATGTACCCATATCTTAACATGATTTTAGATAGCTAACCAGTTATCATTATTTGGAGCATCATGTTTTGTTGTTGTACAATATAGGTCACCATACGAAATATGGACTACATAGTGATATGTAGATGTATATCCGAATATTACAACATATTATTACAATAAAATAATTTTGAAATTAATAGTAAACAAAATCTTTGAAAATTGCATGGCATCATAAAATGTTCCAGACCAAGTTGAATTTAAAAGTAATTCCTTATGGTCCCTAAAATATGGAAGTATGATTCAGTACGTTATTTACACTCTATATCAATACCTCAACCTTATAATAGTCAACAGCCTAGTGGGTGTTGTGATATACCATATTATAAAAAAACTTGTTCAAAACCTTAAACCAAGTCCAATCAAGCTGTTTTAAAATATGAATAAAGGGTTCAAAACATTGCTTAGACTCCTTATAAATACCTCAACAGCCTTTTGGTCCCTAAAATTTGACTTTGGAGATCAAACACTGCCTAAAAAAACTTGCTCAAAAACTTTTACTTCAAGTGGGATGCTGAAGCCAATGCCAGAGTGACTACATGAGCATTCATTAAAAAACTGTTAACTTCATAACAAAATAGATATCCACTTAAAAATCTTAAGTTGGTGTAAATGTATCAAATTAGATTCATGTTTTTTTACGAGTGCAAAGGACTCTGCTATACAAGTGAAATATATCTATGGTATTCAACAGAAAAACCATTAAATTTTCTAATTTTCTCTTAAAATAATGTAATGCAAATACTGCTTCATCAATTATTTATTTGATAAGATTTATATTTGATGTCAGGTTCAAATGACGTCAAACTTGAGAACAAGGCAGAACGCCGTTTTGAGAATATCCAATATTTCACTGATGAAAACGTCATAATTTTTATCCTATTTTTATATTGTACGAACGTGATTGTAAATATTGATACTACAATAGGTCTATCTACTTCTAGTGCTTAAATCAATAGTGAAAGGCATGTAGAAATTTCCATTACAATCTGACAGGATACCTTTCACCGAGAATTTATTTTGTCTGTTCTGTGTTTGATATTTTCATTGTGTATCACATGTTGGCAATTAGTATTTGAAACTTTTGCGATGTATTTATTTTTGCTGATTCGTGTTTTCAATGGAACCATAGATATGTCATCAAACAAACGTATTCAAATTCAGTTGTTTGTAAATTTTGAATCAAAGGTAAAGTTTGAAAGCCTAAAGCCTGAGAAGGCAATTACCTGGTTGTCAGGATTCTTTCAACTTATACAGTTCAAGGTGTAGAGTAGAGAACTCTACCATGCTCAACATCAGGTTACAGCCGTGTGGGTGACATGTTACAGCCGTGTGGTTGACATGTTACAGCCGTGTGGTTGACATGTTACAGCCTTGTGGGTGACATGTTACAGCCATGTGGGTGACATGTTACGAGGGTGGCAGGAATAAATAGCTCAGATTACAGCGAAAATATTTCAACAAAGCTTGTTAGCGGAAAAGTTGTATACGACAGCATATATCTATATATAGTATATATAAGGCATTCATACAAATATTAAAGTATACAATTATCAAAGGCATTCAGATATCCATCCATACAATTCACAATATTGCGCTTCAAATGTAAGTAAACATTTTACATTCTAGTGAAGCCTCAATCATGAAAACAAACCTTAACAAAAATTACATTAGCATTCAAACATTGGTGAGAAAGAATTCGTACAACATTCCATATAATCTCCAAATATATCACATGACCTTCACCTTGACCTCTATAAAACTCCTTGACCTTAAAATTACTATAATAGAACCACAATCCAAATTTAGGTACAGTACACATACTTGCACCATCATAAAATAAGCGCATCAATTAATCCAATGGAACATTTGATTAAAAAATCACTTAAATCTGCTTTTAAACTATAAATCTTTCAAAGATTAAGAGACATCAAATCAGGGAGCCAGATTTAACATGGAGTGTCAAACAAGCTCTATCAGACACCAAAACAGGGTGCTAGATCTAACCTGGGGTGTCAAAGAAGCCCTATCAGACACCAAATCAGGGTGTTAGATTTCACCTGGGGTCTCAAACAAGCTCTATCAGACACCAAATCAGGGTGCTAGATCTAACCTGGGGTGTCAAACAAGCTCTATCAGACACCAAATCAGGGTGCTAGATCTCACCTTGACGTGTCATTATCTGAGTACAATAGTTTTCATAGCCTTTTAAAAGTAACACAATCCCAATGTTAGTACTGTTGTTATACTAGCACTTTAAAATATAATACTTATCAAGGTGTATTTGTAAAATGTGATTACCTCAAAAATAAACACGTTAACAGTATGATTGCTACATCTTGTTTATAGTTAAAACTTAAAAATATTGTATTAATTAAAAAGTTCATGAAAATTGCACATATCTTTTACACTTGAAATGATCTTGAAATATAAGGCATAAAGAATTAATTTTCTTTGCTGAAAAAAAATTAGTTTGAAAATTTACCATAACACCTTGTTTTCTCGACATTCCAGACTGACCACATTTTTCTTTTTTCATTGACCACTGCCTGAGCGGCACCTAATTCCACTTGGCCTTTGTGTGACCTTCACATTTCTTATGGACATCACTTCCTGTTTGCATTCTCTAATTCATCATCAACCTTCAAATGTAATGGACATTCATTTCAGTAATAGGACCATAAGTGTGAAACCAAAAATTGCCTTGGTGACCTTGATTTATGACAATGACCTTCACACGTATGAATACTGGTTTTCCACAGCCCGGCCGTGAATAATTTGACCTTGGGCCTGCGCCTGCCCTTGCTCCCTCATGACATTTTCAATGGATTCAGTCCGGGCTCTCACTGAGCCACTCACCACAACGATATCACGACTGGACAGATCTGCTTGGCCGCCAACTGCTCCTGGACTCCGCCCTCCAAGATTGGGATTGGACCCAGAATGATTCCCTGACCCTCGTATCCGTGGTGACCCGCGACCCATGGACGGTGTGAGGGGTCGTTCAATAGCAACAACGTAGTCTGTAAGAGAAACGTCTGATGATCCGCCAGATTCTAGAGGGATTGGATGTGTTCGAAAATGCTCCAGCATGTCAAAGATGGACTGGAACCATAGATGCTGGACACGACACTGACCGTCCGAGTTAATTGTCATCCTCAGGTGCTGCAATGACAGGTAAGTTATAGATTAGATTCTGCAGAGAAAATTAGTCATCAACTACAAAACCGTACAGCGTGCCACCATCTGATATATGAAATGATGGCCGCCAGCTGTAAACATGTAGTGATGGCCGCCAGCTGTAAACATGTAGTGATGGCCGCCAGCTGTAAACATGTACTGAAGGCCGCCAGCTGTAAACATGTACTGATGGCCGCCAGCTGTAAACATGTACTGATGGCCGCCAGCTGTAAACATGTACTGATGGCCGCCAGCTGTAAACATGTACTGATGGCCACCAGCTGTAAACATGTACTGAAGGCCGCCATCTGATAACCAGAATGTTGACAATCACCTGTGCAGAGGACCGAAAACTGATACGGCCCAGGTATGTTGTAGCAACTGTGTAAATCATTACTGCCATATCAATCAACTATACAAATAACATAAAAGTACAAAAATGTCTTTCCTCTCTAAGGCATTCTCTACTCCTTCAGTTCAAATAACGCCAGTATTGATCAAATGTGTTTGTCTAAACCTGTCTCAGGATTTTCATTTAGGTAGGTAGGTAGGTAGGTAGGTAGGTAGGTAGGTAGGTAAAATATTTTTTCTTGCTGGTTTTAAATTATCCCTTATCAACAATGAATAACACCAAACAATAATTTCTTTATATGCTGAACAAGTTACCATTTTTCTTTCTTTTGTCTTTGTAACAGGACAATGTGTCCCAGAGGTACCATCAAAAGAAGTGATTGGACAAGAAAGAAAGGGGACCCCAAGATTAACTCATTCAACCCCTGAAGACACATTTGAATGCTTCCAATTCAAAAGTTGGAATAGTTCATTATGAAATTTCAGGGGTGAATGAGTTAAGATATGCAATGGTAACAAATCCATTTTTTTTTTCAGTGTCCCCTAATAAGATCACACAATGGAAAACAGCATTGAATAATAGTATTGAATAATGCTGTGTTCCATTGGGTGATCTTCTTAGGGGACACGGAAAGAATTCACATACATGCAGCAAACTCCGGAATCTGTAAACAGGATCTGAAGTCAAAGTCAAACAACATACCTCAGCACGCCCTTGGAAGTTGTAGGTGAGATCACATTTCCCTTTGCCTGTTTCACTCTGTCGTACAAGGAATATTCCGTGACCGACTTGACAAACAACATACCTCAGCACGCCCTTGGAAGTTGTAGGTGAGAACATAATCCCCTTTGCATGTTTCACTCTGTCATACAAGGAATATTCCGTGACCGACTTGACAAACAACATACCTTAGCACGCCCTTGGAAGTTGAAGGTGAGAACATATTCCCCTTTGCATGTTTCACTCTGTCGTACAAGGAATATTCCGTGACCAACTTGACAAACAACATACCTCAGCACGCCCTTGGAAGTTGAAGGTGAGAACATATTCCCCTTTGCGTGTTTCACTCTGTCGTACAAGGAATATTCCGTGACCGACTTGACAAACAACATACCTCAGCACGCCCTTGGAAGTTGTAGGTGAGAACATAATCCCCTTTGCATGTTTCACTCTGTCGGACAAGGAATATTCCGTTACCAACTTGACAAACAACATACCCTAGCACGCCCTTGGAAGTTGAAGGTGAGAACATATTCCCCTTTGCGTGTTTCACTTTGTCGTACAAGGAATATTCCGTGACCGACTTGACCCTGTTGTAGCACCAGCTGTGCTGCCTCCAGACGAGACAGCGTACCGTGGAACCATGGGTAATCGTGTAGTAGCACATCAATCTGTGTCTCAGCCGGCGGTAGTGACTCCCTCTGGCCGTCTGAAGAGAACAAGTTAGACAATTATTTTGAGTACTAAATCACGACAAAATGATCAATTAAAACGAATTTTAATCAAAGTCAAGATTTTGGTGAAAATGATGGTCAAATCTACAAACATCATAAATAAATTAATATAGTATCATAACATTGTTCACCTAAAACTTGAGTTGGCATTTGTACTAAACTGTACTGGGCTTGGATGGGTTTGATACCAAATGACGCCTTTTGCTGGAAAAGTAAAGTTAGAGTTGGAGACTGATTGATGTCAAACAAATATTAGTTCACTTTCATCTTTTTCAAAAACTTAAACCAAATTTTTTCTTAAATGTAACTAAACTGTCAGGAAAAATGATCTTTTAAGATTTTTAAGAAAATTACAAATTGTATTTTACACAATTAATCATGGTTCCACAGCTTGATAGCACAGGAAAGCCTGACACACGTGCCATTCAGACACAAAATTCCCAAATTATCTCCCTTTGACCATTGCCCTTCTAACTCTGTGACTAAGAGAATTTTTGACATTTTCATTTTTAAAGTACGACATACTTATTGATCACAATTTGCTTGAAAAAAATCTATTATTTACTTGATAAAAATGTATTAATGTCTTTGAAACTTTGCCTTACACTCAAGAGAAGGTGACTTTGCAAGCATTTTAGAATCCTTGCAAAGATGTCATGTAAATACCACCCTTTTATTTGTCAATTCTGTGCACATTGCTTGCTTTTAAAACTGTATAAAAGTGATTGTAAGCCTTTTTTTTCTTCTTTTTTTTCACAATTATAACCATTACTATTATCCATATGTTGTATAGCGCTTTACAGTAATTTTACAAATTCTATAGGACGCTATATAAATGTTGCATATTATTTGTATATTATTATGGCTGTCAATTTGCAATTAATACGCTGCTGTGATAATTTTACTATTGTGGTCTACAATATAATATTTGGTTCTTCAAAAATGTCTTCGTAGAACTTTCTACTGATTTAAGGAAACTGAAACTAAGAAGGCTTTGAAATTGAACAGAACTGAAAACTGTCTTGCAAAAACATTTTTTTAGATTTTTTGAAGGAATTTTACTATATATTGTTCAACTTTTGAAGTTTCACACCAATAAACAGTGCAGTTGAAATTCCACACTCCTCTAATTTCTGAAAACAACATTCCCAAATGATCTCCTTACTAAGAGATTGTCTATAAAAAAAGACAGATATCTTTAACATGATCATCAAGTATAAAATATTTCTGATACCTTGCCTTACATTTTATATTAGCTGACTATTGCGGCCAATCTTGTGTAATGCCACTATGTTTACGTTGTTTATATTGAGCACTATATTTAATTGTTATTGTGTTCCCGAGCAGCGTTGGTTCCTTTTAATTAATTGGACATGAGTATTACCACCAGTATGGCGATTTTAGACGTGCGTCTAGCATCTTAGTTGCCAATAATTACATACTTTATAATAGTTGTTAATGAGAATCGCGGTAATTAGACATTTATATATATCATACTGGAGTCGCGTTTATAAGGATTACCTGGTCAGTCGTCATTTAGTCGTGTAGTTTGTCATTTTCAGTCGATCTTGTTCAAATGTTTATTGTTGACAACATGTTGTTCTCCGGTAATTCAATGTGCATGACCGAGGCAGGAAGTTTATATTTTCACATTGTGTAGAAGGTGACCAATCAGATTAGAGTCCCAGCATGGGAATTTCTCGGACCGGAGTCCTATGATTTTTGGGACAATTCCTAAATATCGGTTGTCACGACTCAGCAGCCGGTGAGTACACACGGTCTTAAGATCTCAGAACCCGAACCAGGTTCGAGCGCGATTCACTTCCTATCTTTTCCTAGGGAAAGAGCTTATTGTCATTCATATGTATCTATCAAGCTATTTTTAGATGAGATTTTCCTGTAATTACTTTATTGTAAAGTGACGTCAAAGCCGTATAAATGTAGGTCAATGTTTACATTAGACACCGTAAGGAACTTCAGTCAGATATAATTCCTACTTCTAGAATTGAAAGAATTAAGGCCTGTGGAAGATATCTATATGTCAGATTTACATTGTAAGTCAAAATAAAAGTGAAACTGAGCTATATTGGAAGAGTGAGATACGTTGATATTGACTTGTATTAATCTTGCAACTGTCATACTTGTATGGGTCCAGCACTCCTATGTATATTCACAGTCATTTAAGAACGTGCTAGGTTTTGGTGGTGAAGGAAAGCTGGAGTTCCCGGAGATAAATCACCGACATTCGGCCAGTACCTGGCGACTGCCCCACATAGGCCTCGAAACCGCGACCCAGTGGTGAAAGGCTACTGGTAGGAGAATGTCAGACGCCTTAACCTATCGGCCATCATGGCCTCTACAGCAAATTTTTTTGTAATGCAAGTACAGTATAACCCTGTTGAATACAATATGTAATTTTGTATAGTGTGACAGCCCTAGGAAGTGGTACTGATAAATACTACTACCAAATACTTTACCTATTTTGGAACAAATTCAATATATCAGACATATGGAATACCTCTTTATCGTCCAATAACTTTTGTCTGGTGTGATCATAGCACGAAGTATTCATGTGTAATTTATTTATCATTTGTCATGAAAATATAAAACTAATTTAAGAACTTCAACAGGAACATTATAAAATGTTTATTTATAACATTTTAAAACAGAAGTAAACAAATTTCTATCACAAATATATCATATTAACTCATTCACCCCTGAAACTTCATAATGAACTATGCCACCCTTTGAATTTGAAGGGTTCAAATGCGTCTTCAGGGGTGAATGAGTTAAGAAAATCCCATGAAATGAAACCAGTTATCTTAAAACAGACACAAAATAAATGAAGTGGTCATATTCTCAAAACAAAGTTGTACAGTTTACTTACATGTTCAATTGAAATAAAAACATATTTAAGTTTATCATCTTTTACTAAATGCTAGTTTTTTTACAAAAATGTCACCAACAAAACTTATTGACCAAAAATATTTCAAATTATCTCCCTTTAACTGTATCCTTTTTGTGATAATGACTGGCAACACTTCAAAATAATATGCCCTGTTATGTGAAATTGAACCTTTATTCACGTTATACATACAGAACGCTGTGGTTCATAAAGAATTTGGACCAATTCTGAATTTTACATACAAAGAAGTTATTACTTGACCAACCAATAAAACAATCTAGGCTGATCTTCTCATTAAAGACCCTTATAAGTTGATATTGGTTCTGGCAAGAAATGTGTAACTCTATTTAAGGATTAATTTTCAGCAATTTACTTTTAATATTAATATCATGTTTTTAAAATACCTGTTTTTCTGTCACTTCAATATTAATGTTTGACAGATCTGAATCATATCCAGTTAGTGATCTACAAATATGCCCTTTTTACATAGTTCGAGAGCTGTATAGGACCACTGTTTGCTTGTAAAGAAACTTTATACTTTTAGTGGTAAAATACTAGCTGGCACGGAGCTCTACACCTGTTCTTGATAAAACAGTCGGTCAATAATAATTTAAGCATTCTTTTGAGCCTTCTTAAAGCCTTCTTCAAAAAACCAAGGTTTGTATCCTAATCTATAAGCTTCCTTGACGAATTGTAGATTATAAATAACTCCACTGTAATTAAGGGTTTGTTAGATTAGTGCAGCGTAGTCGAGATACCCACCAGATTCATTGACGTAGCGTGGTGAAGGGTTTAGTTCTGCAGAGAGACGACTGCTGTGAGGGATATCGCCATGGGAACTGAGTGGTCGCTGGGGTCCTGGACGTGGTGGAACATCGGGGGGGTTACTGTTTAGACTTCCCTGCGATGTGCTACGCAATGGAACACCGAGCGATGAGTTTTCTGGACAAAGCAAAAGCAAACATTGTGATGATTATGTAACAGCATACTATGTAGTTATTTTGTTATAAACATTGCAGTTTGTTTGAGAGAACGTTCTCTGTATGTTGTCAACGGTAGCCACAGTTGTGTATAACATTTTTTACATTTATAAATTTCTATATCTGATATTAAACGAAGTTGTATCTGTGTAAATCTCGTTATATTGCCAGCATTTGTCCAGAGAAATTTTGGACAAACATATAGGGGTTTGCAGGTAAATTGAAGGAAAAGTATTAAGGAATTCTTCAGGAAAAAGGGATATTGAAATTTGTTCGCGGTAAACGAGGCACAACAAATTGAGATCCTACAGTAAGCAGGTAATTCGCCTGACCATGTGAGACTCGTCATGGTAATCTGGTTTGCTCCCAGATTAAGACCCAATGCATGCTAACACCCAGACCAAAAAGTGATTAATAGTGTATATAATGGATCTTACAAGAGTTTCCATGTCATATGAGATTGATGAAAAATTGTTGATGAATTTCATAAATCTCATATGATATGGAAACTCATGTAAGTGCGTAGTGCAGAGTAATTCACTATCACGGGAAAGTGTGATGTGGTCAACCAATCAAAATCATTCCAGGTCGTGTAAGATAAGTTGATATGCAGAAATAGGAAATGGGTGTATTCACTGTATAACAGTTGATATAACTTGTCTCATAACTGTTCATTAACTAAACAAGCTATCCCAAAGAGATGTGGATGCCCACTATCTTAACATTAGTTCTATGTTTGACTTCTCTCTTCATTTATCTGTTTTTCTATTATTTGTTATATTGATAGTCATGTTGTATATTCTGATTAAAGTTTTATTCAGATACAACTTGGGACCAAGGGAAACCTTCATATAAAATAATAAAATAGAAAACTCTGTCAAGTACTTCTCTAGTGATAATTTAACTCATTCACCCATGAAATTTTATAATGAACTATTCCAACCATTGAGTTGGAAGAGTTCAAATGTGTCTTCAGGGGTGAATGAGTTAAGAACGAATTACTGACAGACAAACAAATGACCAAGGACAAAGGGAGAATTGAATAGGTCACCATATGATGATGGTGGGATAAAAAATGATAATTCGTATAATTAATTAAGGCTATTTATTTGAACGGCATTGATAGCCTTTTATCCTAACCATTTACAGGTCAAATACCTTGGTGAAAAGATTTTTTGATTCTTAAAAATAAATTATTTTAAGACCTTTTGATGACCTTCCATACAAGCAAAATCCTTTCAACATTTTTAATTTTGACTTTTGCAGAATTACCAGAAGATTTTGACATGCATTGTATTTGACCTTGAATGAAAATATGTGACATAAATAAACTTTACAGCCCTTTACAGCAACTACATAATGATCGTGTCTCTCGGCCTTCTAGAAGTTTAGAAATATTTCAAGGTCATTTATTAGATAACCCTCCATTCTAGCTAACCTGATTAAATGAAAGTAAATGTTTCACACATAGATGTGTACAAACAGAAAGCTTGACTCATCAGATGGTGATGGAAATCTGAACACAACATAACTTTTCTTTGTTCAGCTTAACTTTGTGACAGAATGTTTTATATGTACGAGTGATATTTCTGAGATTATATGAACAAACTAATCTTATGCTTGTTCTGTCAGACAGTTTTTTAACCCACTTAGGCTTCTTTCTTAAATATTTGTAATAGAAGCAACTTAAACAAAGATTTTGTAAAACCAAAATATCTTTGTTGTGACAGACTTGTAAGAACTCTTTAGTTTTCATGTCGTACACATAACCTTTGTCAAGTTCAGTTAAATCTAAAATTGACCACAGTTTGACCTTAACTTGATTTCAGTTTGAGGCCATTTTTCCTGGACTTGATCTCAGTTTAACTTTAAATTGACCCCAGTATGACCTTAACTTGACCTTAGATTAACCCAAACTTGATCTCAGTTTGAGGCCTTTTTTCCTTGACTTGATCTCAGTTTAACCTTAAATTGACCCCAGTTTGACCTTAACTTGACCTCAGTTTAACCTTAAATTGACCCCAGTTTGACCTGTATAATACCTTTTCTCTCTATAGAACCACTTGGTGCTGTTGGTAGTCTTGGTCGCCTGAAATTTAAACAGATATCAATATATTAGATTAATCAATGTAAACAAGAGGCCCAGAGGACCTGTATTGTTCACCTGCATATTTAAACAGTCATGGCAAAACATTCTGATTTAATAGTATTGCAAATAAGATCCCCGGAGTAGGACCCAATCCTTAGGCTTCCGTCCTTGATACTCCAGGGTTACACTCACTTATGCTCTAAGCATTAGTACAATATAGAACACCACTACCAGATGATGTTTCCAATATGGTTGCTTAATAAAATCTATCACTCCTTCATGATGTAGACAGAGTAATCTCATCTGCCATGAATAGTTTTTCAAGTTTAACACTAGGAAATGAATCCTTGTGCTGAATTTCAAAAATCTTATCTCCAGAGAGTCTAGATTTCTGTATCTTTATTAAACAGGAACGATAAATGATTTTCTCCTACACTTTCCTACTGTAGAGATAAGTTTTAATGGTGAACTCAGTGCACCATGCCATAATTAAGGGTGACAAAATTGATGACGTTACCCTGGCAATGCTGCACAAAGTGATGGCACAATAGTGATGTCTTCGGAGGAAAAGTGTTTGTTAGCTCTCTTTCCCTAGGTAGTTAAAGACTGATGTTTTTCCCACCCTTCACAGGTGTGTCTCCCGTTTTAGTCGGGAAAGATCAGCGTGTCACCTCCTAGGGGGAGATTGCCTCGTGCCAATTAGCACGTGTTTAAGTGTGATGTCATTAAAATGTGTCATCGGTAATTGTGACGTTAGCAAAAATGAATGACGATATGCATACCCCACATGTGTTTTTGTTTACAAACATGGCAGACTGCTGTCGGTGGAGCTGTGACTGAAATAATAGGATGGGAGAAAAATAACCATCCCCTACCTTGAGGGTGTAACAGAGAAATCTCCAACCCAAGGGGGTGATGGTTTTTGGTTGTCTAACCAAAAAAATTACCCGAGGGATGGAGATTCCTTTGTCTTACCCTCAAGGTAGGGGAAGATTCTATTATTCTCTCATTTCCCTGTGTGTAAGATAGAGTTGTCAAGGGTAAGAAAGGGGTGTAGGAAATTTCTATCTTACACCCCATTTCAAGTGACGTGATGTCACTATGGCTCAACAATGACGTGACGTCACAAATTTGGAACTCTCTGATGCCGCAATGCCTAAAAGGCGACGTGATGAAATTAAAACCATTTATATATTTATCACAACGTTAGAAAGATGGGATACGCTAAATATGGCTGGCTAACTTGTTTTCGTTTGAAAAGGTCAGGGGGAAAATAAGATATTCTCAAAATGGTAGCTAGTCCAAACGCATTTTCATGGTTTCAGAGCTTATTCTGGTGGTTGTAATGAGAGAAAAATACTTTTTCATAACCGAGGGTGTAGGCTAGGAAATTTCCACCCTCTGGATTTTCAAATTTGAAAACCCCTTGGGTGGAATTTCCCTATCCTCCACCCCCTGTGCATGAAAGAGTCTTATAAGCACCTGTGAGATGTTGGATAAATCCATCTCTTTAATCTAGAAGAAAGACCTTAAGAGCTATGTGGCCAAATTATCCCTATGGACCCCCCCTAAGCTCCATTAAGGGGTTGGGGTCAGCCCCTTCATTTAAACAATTCTGAATGCCCATCACAGGGGAATACTTCCTATAGTTTGATAACTATCTGTAAGTTCCAGGAAGGAAGTTGCTCAAAGCGTTATAGCCAAATTAACCTTTTTTTACCTCATCACCCTTGGGGGACAGTCCCTTTATTTGTGTAAAGCTGTATTCCTGGCTCCTACGAATGCTTTCAATCGAATACATTTGACACACATCTCATAATTCTAGAGGAGGGGGGGGGGGGGACAGCCCCTCCAAGTGAATCCCCAACACCTAAGGATGCTTACAGTAACCCTTTGTTTAATTATTTATAATCAATTGTTATGAAGAAGTCGTTCGAAGAAATTGATGACACTTTGACAGACGCAAGACAGACAATGGACGTCAGGGTACGGCATAAGCTGACCTTGTTCCCTCACACCAAGTGAGCGAAAAGGATTGCCAAAATAAAAATGAATTTAATGATAACAGGCAAAATCTATTCAACAGCAAGACATTTGACATTTGTGTGTAATCAATGGTGTGTGACACTTGTGTGTAATCAATGGTTTATGACATTGGTGTGTAATCAATTGTGTGTAATCAATGGTGTGTGACATTTGTGTGTAATCAATGGTGTGTGACATTGGTGTATAATCAATGGTGTGTAATCAATGGTGTGTGACATTTGTGTGTAATCAATGGTGTGTGATTGATATTTACATGGCCACTTCCTGTCCTTCAGCTTCCTCTAGAATGGCCGGTCGACTGATGTAACGCCCGATGTCCTCCAACCATGATCGTAAATCCTGCAGGTCGTGGGCCTCAATCACAAACTCACTTGTCCCTTCTCCCTGTGGAATAGGAAATTATATCAACATATATTTACCATCCTTTTTATTAATGTAAATTGCTTTCCCAGTAATACACACTCGTATAAGTGATATATAGGTATCCAGTATTTATTTGAACAGTAGGACAGCCGTACAATTATATTGCAAGTTTTCATATATTTACAGACTTTATTTCAATGTCACTTTCATCAACGAGCTATAATATCAAATATACAAGACAAGGGTCCAAGATGGATTCTGGTGTCCACCATCCTACCATTATCATTGGTTCTATGCAAGAATGATCTGTATGACATCACTCTTTCAAAACAAGACTGCCATTTGACCTATTAACTAGCATTATACTTAATGTGTAAAGAGGGGGATCAACATATGAAATTTGAAAAAGACCTGTTCACTACCTCTTGAGAAAATAAGTTATGGGTGCTTCTCAGCTATTAGGAAATTTTCCCTCAAATTTTAAATATTGGTAAAATGATTTAATTTTAACTTTTAACTTATAACACTTCTATATATATCTAAAATTCTTCAATTATTAGTGAAAAGATAACTGGGGGCATATTTTGTTGTTTTTTGGTGTTTTTAACAAGGTACACCAATAGTGACGCCGATTACCTTGACATTACAAATATCAAATCAGAAGTGGTATTTTCCATTAAGGTTGCTTGAAAGATGGATTTGGAAATTCATCTACATTGATTCTATACCTTAAATTACCATTCCTTAAGAAAAAGTGTTCTTTTATGTTTCTTAAGTACAGTTAGAAAAAGTGACGCCAATTACTTGTATACCAGA